CTACACAAATGGGACTCGTAGTGATCCACCTGTTTTTCAGCCTCTCAAGTGCTGGGATTACAGGGGCACACCACTACACCCAGTCTCAGTTGCTATCTCAGCTCTCCCCAGGGGCAGGGCTGGCAAGGCAAACTGGGGATCAAACCCCAATCACTGTGTCTTCCTAAGCAGGCGCTTTAATCCCCTGAGCTATCTGGCTGGCCCACAAAATAAAGATTTAACAAAAAGATTTCTGGGTGAGAATACAGGATTAAAGAACACTCGGGGTGTATGTTTCCATCAGAGAGACACAGTATAGGCATGCCAAAAGAACAGACGACGTGCAGCCAAGCAAAGCTGAAGCGTGGCCCTGAGGAAGCTTGCTAAAGTGGAAAAGTGGGCGCATTAAGTGTACATATCCCTTACAAAAGTGAAAACTACGCAGGGGCCGGAGGTTCAGTCCCTGGGCCTGCTGCGTCAGCCCCGCCCCTGGGGTGCGCTAAAATGGCAATTGAGACTGGGTGTGGTGGCACACCCCTGTAATCCCAGCTCTTGGGAGGCTTTAAGCAGGTGGATCACTATGATTCCAATCTAGTAGTGACACCCTGAACACCCTGTAGACCTCTACTTCCCTAAAATACAAAAAAAAAAAAAAAAAAGTGAAAACTAAAGAATAGACTTGCGTGCAAGAAATGAATAAAACGAAATGTTTGCTGGTTTTGGATTTTTCTATGTTTGAGACATTGTATGTCACATTTCTTTATTCAAGACTAACTATCTCCCATAGATGAAATTATCTGAAAGGTAGAGTGTATATCCCTGTCTGCTAATATCAGTTTATCTTGTTGGGCTTATTTTAATCCAAGATTTACAGGAAAGCAATTAAACTCATTTTCCTAAGGCAGAGTATTTGTTAATCTCATCTCCTTGTTGCTATTTTTTTTTTTTTTTTTTTTTCTTCAGGGCTGGTGATTGAACTCAGGCCCTTGTGCTTGCCTGGGAAGCACTTATTCCACTGAGCCATCTCCCCGGCCCCGCTATTTTATTATTTTATTTTAGTTGGCAATGGGAATATCTTCAATAATAAAAATTTGAGAAGCCACATCAGTTAAATAGTTTTGAATTCCTTTCCAAGTTTATTTCTTTCAGCTTTATTATTCAGATCTTATTTTAGTGAAATTATTAAGCAATTTGCATTTTGTCTTCTGAAATAGAAAAATTTATATTTCCATTATCTGTTCAAGTTATATCTCTACAAATTGAAATAGATGGTTTTTACTGTATAT